TTATATGCTTTAGCCTCCAGTCCCCTAATCATCTTTGTTGCTCTATGCATGTACACAGAGGATTAGTCCACACTTGGTACAGACCTGAGGTAAGTATCCTATATCCACCTCCATGTTGCTGCTTTCCAAGGCACCGTATAACCATTCCATATCTACATTAAGAGACCTGATGGGGGGAAAAAATCACCATCATTAGAAATGGGAAAGCTGTAGTCCACAAGGCCAGAAATTTTCATTCATGTGAAGCAGGGCACCCATGAGAAAGAGAAGAGGGCAATTACCAAACACAGCATTTAGAAGTATGTGGAATACATTGACAGCAAAACAAGTTCTTGTTAAATAAATCATTGCAATTTGCTTGAAAGGCCTCGTGGACATTCCAGAATAAATATCCCTCTCCAAGCTTCATCTTCTTTTGGTAAAATGTCAGTACCAAAGCACATGCTCTACCTGAGCAATTTTAAGATGAGCTTAACTTATGATGAACTTATCTCCCAGAATTCCCTGGTCAGCATGGGAATTCTGGGAGTTGAAGTCCACACATCTTAAAATTGTCAAGAAACTCTGCTCTGAGACCACTCAGTTGCCTGACTGAGTAGCTGAAATCATGCCACAAGCTACCATCTGGTTTATCTGATATAGATTCAGTCACTGTGTCTTGGTCAAGGCAATGAACTCTATCCAAAGAGTTCATCTTTTGCCTTTAAGAGCTTGTTAAGAGCTAAAATTAAAGCAGACCTGTTTCTCCATCAGAAAATGAATTACACCCCATAACATTTGCCATTTGTCTAAATCGACATTATATCTGAAAATTTTGGGCTCATGTTATCATCACTTTAAAAAGTTTTGATATGTGCAGAGATGGATAGACTAACATTAGAAATTAAAGACAAGAATGAAACAGAGTATTACGAAGTTTGGGGTAAGATGTACTATTGGTTAGACTCGAGGAGAAAAAATCAGAACAGAGAAAGCTCGTCTAGACGAGAGAAAGTGTAGATTTTCAACCTCAAAGTGAGCGTAAGATAGAGATCAGAAACAATATGAAATAAGAATGGAAATGGAAGTTATGTTGTAAATAGACGTAAATATGTATGTAAATATATAAATATGTAAATAGTATAAAATGCAATATGTAAATGGTATAAAAGATCAATGAATAGGGAGATATATGGTATATGGTATATAGTATAGTATGTGTGGCAAAATAACAGCCAGAAAAGCCACACTGTGTTCAACCTGTTTTTAAATGTTTACTCAATAAAAAAAAATTTTTTTAAAAAGGAAAAAAAGAAAATGAATTATACCCAAATGTTTATTACAAACTGTCTTCAGGTAGAAGAATGTGAAATTGTTAACGATGCATTGAGTGAGCCTGCTTCAAATTTCACGCTTGCTTGTGGTACTGGAAACTGGAGAAGCTTACCTGTTATTAGGGACAAACAGTTTGAACTCTCGGACATGGGAAGAATCCTTTGAGAGGACAATGTAGCCTGTGAATTGGGCAGGAGAAAACCAGAATGGGAAATCTGGAGGCTCATTCAGTTGGAACTCTGCATGGATTCTGGAATCAAAAGGAGCAATCAGCCAAGCAGTTTATTTTCACCAAATCTATCCTCCCTCATCCCCACCAAATTAAGATGACTGCATTCACACAGGCCAGAAGAACTTTGGATTATTGTAAATGAGCAAGAATGAAATGGCTGAACAGTGGAAGTTCTTTACAGGATGAATTTATTGAGACGTGTATCTATGTTGGCCTGAATGGTTGAGCTATGGTTGAGTTCTACATAGATACGTTCTTGAATATCAGACAGATGTTTCCAGTGATCCCAAACTAGCTGTTTATGCTGTATGGACGGTGCTACATTTGGGCTTAGACAGCTGCAGAAACTTCCAGTTTGCCTCTATGGTAAATTCCCAGCACTGCCATTAACGCTGAATAATTGAGAGGGTGGAATATTCTGCCTCTTATACATACAATATTGATGGTTCTTCTCGCCTTCAAAACACAAAACAAGATTTTGCCCGTCAGTGGGTACTTTTAAAGCTTCTACTCTACACTACGTGTATTTAAAAACGATTGTGTTTTATTATTTTAATTTGCAAGAGTTGCTAGCATCTAGGGGGATCCAAAATTGAATGAAAACATTTTCATATAAAGCATGGAATTGTTACTCTGAGTTTTCTTTCTATTTTTAACAGCGTATTAACTATTTTGCAGAGATCTTCTGTTTTCACTGAGGAAACATTAGCTGTCCATTAGGCATATTCTGAGTTAATTAACTGCACTCTCTTTTTCTCATTCAATCACTTAGCTTGATCCACTGTGGAAAAAGATTTATAAGTGCAAATCCATTCAGATCACAGAACTTCCTGAGGAATGTGTAACGTACACACATTTGCAAAAATGACAAGAGTTATACATTTCAAGCTCCTCTTGTTTAGCTATACTAGATCTAAAAGAAGGAACGATGGTTCTCATTTTCTAGGAAGTGGGAGACTGATTGGCTGCTTAATTCAGTAGTGTTGGCCGTACAATGATGGGCACTCTCCTGAGTATCTGGCTGGAATTTTTGACAGACCTTTTGGAGATGCCAAAGAATGAATCAGAGTCTATTTACATGCAAAGCGGGTTGGCTAGATGCTCAGCTGGGAAGGTAATCATCAGGTGATCAATTTCACCGGCACATGAAATATTCCTTCCCTACCACATGGGAACTGCTTGTCTGCACCACTAAGTAACGCAACAGTCCAATCAAGCAAAGCTGGTGCGTGATGACTATTCCTACGTGGAGTTTAGAGTTTTTGAGGAACCAGTGAGCAAGGACGATTATTCTCAATCTGACAACCCGGCAACAGAAGGCCTTTAAATTCATGGTCTTTAAATGGCACTGGGGGAGGAATATCACATTCCCAACCATTCAATCTGTTCCAGGACAAAGAAAGCTAAATTTAACTTTGAATTAAAAATTAATCCACTGGGCCTTCTTTATTTATAGTTAATTATTTATAATTAGATCCTTCAATACTGAAGCCACACAGTAATATAAATAAAACATAAACATCAGATCACAAACTTTAAACACACACACACACACACACATATATATATATAATGAAAAACAATTGCAATATGTTTTAAGGCCTTTTTAAATCCCAGCAAGGACATCAATTCTCAAGTTTGACGGGAAAAGCATTCTAGAGAACGTGGATGGCCAACAATTCAGCTGGGCCACAACTTTGTAAAAGGGGCCAGTTCATGAATCAAGGCCATGGAGTCACATACATCATGTGCCTCCCTCAGTCTTTCCTTCAGATACTTCTAAGCAACAAGATGAAATAATCCCACCTGCGGTTGCACCCAACGTGCTTCTTGCTCAGATCTACCCATACATAATCGCACACCTATCCTCCCACGCCCCACACTGAATGCAACCTCTTGGGGGACTGTATTCTGAAGGGGGACGCGATGGCTCAACAGTTAAAAACGCTGAACTTATCAGCTGGAAAGCTGACAGCCCAGCTTCAAGACCCAAGTGCCGTGGGATGGGGTGAGCTCCCGTTCCTTGCTCCAGCTCCTGCCCATCTAGCACGTCGAAAGCATGCAAATGCAAGTAGATTAATAGGTACCACTTTGGTGGGAAGGTAACTACACACCTTGGTGTGTAGTCATGCTGGCTGCATGACCACGGAAGTGTCTTTGGACAACGCTGGCTCCCTCGGCTAAGAAACGGAGACGAGCTCCACCCCCTAGAGTTGGACATGACTAGACAGGGGAAATCTTTACCTTTACCTTTACTTTACCTGAAGGCTATTCTGTAGTAGAACTCTGCTACAGCTTGAATGCAGGCCACTGCTCCCTGAGGAGCAAAACGGGTTTTCACAAATGGCCGCGGGTGGAACATACTCAAGAGCTTGTGAATGAGGACCTAAAGGAGAAGATACAGGGAGGAATGACCTGAAAATGAATAACAAGCCCCTGAAAGGAGAAACCAAGAATTACAGAATCTCAGGACTGGAAAGCACCTCTACTATAATAATAATAATAATAATAATAATAATAATAATGATAAAGTTGGAAGGGACCTTGGAGGTCATCTAGTCCAAGGCTTTTCAACTAGTGGGACGGGTACCACCTGTGGTACATTGGCACCTGGCAGGTGGTACGCAACCATCCTAGAAAAAATGGTAGCGGGGGAGGGGAATGAGCTGAACCTGTGGCAGCACTGTATAAGCCTGAGCGAGAGACGGCTGGAGCTGCAGGGCTGTCAGGGCTCAGCGGAAGCGCCAGGATCAGCGCCAGGCTCCAGCTAGAGCTCGGCGCTGATCCTGGTGCTTCCGCTGAGCCCAGAAGAAGCGCCGATCAGCTGGAATGTTGCAGCATCTCCAGGGTCTTGTGATTTACATTCAGATGCTTGGCAACCGATTCATACTTATGACGGTCACAGTGTCCCAGGGTCATGTCAAGTGACCAAAACCTGCTGCAACCACCCAGCAGACAGGGGGGAATAAAAACCAAACACCACCCCACCCCACCCCCGCTTCCAGTCCTCAACAGAAATGCTCACAACAATGAAAACCTCAGACGGGAGGAAGAGTGCCGCCGGGTGGTCAGGCAGGTGTCTTGCTCAGCTGTGGCTTGGGGGGCACTTTTTTTCAGTGCCATTGTAACTTCGAACAGTCACTAAGCAAACTGTTGTAAGTCAAGGACTACCTGTACTTTATCACTTTTTTCCTTTTGGGGGGGTCATCAAGTTTTTGACACCTTGCTAGGCGACTGGTGGTACTCGGATATTGCCATATCCTAAAAGTGGTACAATGGGTGAAAAGGTTGAAAAGCCCTGGACTAGTCCAACCCCCTGCTCAGGCAGGAAACCCTATACCATTTCGGACAAATGGCTGTCCAGTTTCTTCTTAAAAACTTCCAGTGTTGGAGCATTCACCGCTTCTGGAGGCAGGTTGTTCCACTGGTTAATTGTTCTAACTGTCAGGAAGTTTCTCCTGAAATAACCATCTTGAAATCCTTGGCGTTAGGTTGCCTGTCGGGTTCTGGAAAAGAGCTATTAAATCTCCTCTCACATTGTCTCTCTACGACAGGAAACATGCCCAGGTGCCTCTCCTCACCGGAGGAAAAAAAAAGTGTCTTTCTGAAATACTGCTCAACAATAGATGTCTTAGCTCCTTGCTCTCCCTCCCGTTTCTCTGCTCCTTTCAATAATTTATAGCTCCCGTTATTACCGAATATTTGTTATAGTAATCACAGTGCTTTTGGTCTTTTAATACACCTGATCCAATATTCCAATGGACAGCTGCCAAGGACTGGAAATTGATCTGCCCATTTGCACTGCATTTCTACTTTGTGCTCTATCGATCCGCAGTATTTCTTTCCGTGATTCAGAAAGTACTGCACTAAAATACCATTGCTTTCTCTCTCCCCCCCTTCCCCCTCTTTCCAAAGCCTTCCTCCCAAGTCCGTTTTGCAGGGACCGGACTTAACGAATCATCTTATACCCCAGTGTTTTTCAATCTCTGCAACTTTAAGACCGGTGGGCTTCAATATTATTATTATTATTATTATTATTATTATTATTATTATTATTTATTAAATTTATATACCGCCCTATCTCCCTTACGGGACTCAGGGCGGTGAACAGGTGATAATAAAAACCACGATAAATATACGCAAGTTTCTGTTCTAAAATCAAATTAAATAATAGGCCTGTTCTAAAAACACACCCATACAAAACCCCCCACTGAAACACAATCCAAACTATGCCAGGCCGGCCGCACGGAATAGATGGGCCTTCAGGGCTCGGCGAAAAAGGCGCAGGCCCGTAACTGTACGTAGGTCGGGGGGTAGGTCATTCCAGAGGGCAGGAGCTGCCACAGAGAAGGCTCTCCCCCTGGGGTTCATCAGCCGGCATTGTCTGGCCGACAGCACCCTAAGGAGGCCCTCTCTGTGGGAGCGGACTGGAATCCAGAATCCGCCAGCCAGCATGCTTTCTTTCTATTTTCTATTCCCCAGCATGCTGGCTGGGGAATTCTGGGAGTTGAAATCCAAAGGACCTGAAGTTTCTAAGACTGAGAAATGCCAATATCTACACAGGGTTCAGAAATTATAGGCATTTAACGCCACTTTAAAGGTGTCGAATTCCCCTTTTCATAAGAACCAACAACCTCACCACTGTATCAAATTCAAGATAGCCCCACTCAACAATCGCAAAGGTTATTCTCTCTTCCTCATTAGGAAGCACCACACTCGCCTCCTTGCCCTTGGGAACTGGAGGGTAGAAACGGTTATTGGGAAGATATCCGGTAAAGATGTTTAGTTCGCTGGGAATGATCCACCACGGGTCACCAGGTTCCAACTTATTCTTTGGGGGAAGAAAGGCCTTGAATTGTCGAGCGAACATCATGCTGAGGGGCGAAGCAGGAGCTGTCCAGTTGCGGAGCCCAGTGAAGGCCACATGGGAAATCTGAAGAAACAAACAGGCCTATTAATAAGCAAACCTAGTTTTTAGAGATTGCCAAGAACAACCATAACTGAGACCGGAATTTTCATTGCTAACCCACACGGTTGTTAAGCGAATTGTGCCTGGTTTTAGGACCCTTCCCCCCCCCACGGTTGTTAAACAGGTCATTGCTGTTGTTAAGTGAAATGACTTTGCTTGCCAGAAGCCAGCTGGGGAAGTTTCAAATGGCAATCTCATGAGTCTAGGACAGTGATGGCGAACCTTGTAGAGACCAAGTGCCCAAACTGCAACCCAAAACCCACTTATTTATCGCCGGGTGCCAGGTGGGCATGGTCACCTGGGTGGGTGTGGCCAAGGTAAGCATGGTCACCTCGATGTTGCTTGTGAGGAGGGACGCCTGTGGGGGCCGGGCAGGGTTGCGGGAGATCCAGGGAGTCTCTGGCAGGTGGGGAGGTGGGGAGGAGGCTCATCCTGCGGGGTGAGACGAGGCAAGGCGAGGCAGGGCGGGGGTGCCATTGTCACAGGGCAAGGTGAGGCAGGGAATAGGGTGGCTACTGCCTGACACCATCGGCCCCCGCACACAGAGGCCAGTGAGCGCATGGGGGCCAACAGTGTCAGTCAGAAGCCACAGCCTGCCAGCCCCTCGACCGGTGCACTCTGGGGCTCCACAGCCCGCCGCCAGCAGTTCAGAGAAGCCGCCTCTGAGCTGGACGGACGGCCGACAGTTGAGGAGGTGATGCAGTGGATTGTGCCCGGGAAAAGGAGAGCATGCGAGGTCAGGAGGGATGGGATGGGGGGGAGGGAAACCAGCAGTGCCGGGATGCATCCGGCTACGTGGGACCTCACCGAGTTAGCGGGCGGCTGGTTGAAGAGGTACGGTTGCCATCTCCGGGGCATGGCGCGCGTGCCCACAGAGAGGGCTCTGAGTGCCGTCTCTGGCACGCGTGCCATAGGTTCACCACCACTGGTCTAGGACACTGCAACCATTGTAAATACATGCCAGTGGCTCCAGGGCCTAAATTTTGATCCCGTGATTGAGAGGATGCTGTGATTTTCGTAAACGCAAGAACCGGTCATGTCACTTTTTTCAACACCCTTGTAGCTTTGAACAGTCATTAAATGAATGGTCACAAGTTGAGGCCCACCTCTATGTTGCTTATATATTCTGAGTTTTAAATTTACACGTATTTTATATCCCCTGTGTAATTTTTAAACTTCCACTTTTTTATATCTGTTATTCATCTTGTATGTTTATGCTTATTTTGAATAACTGCCCTGGACCAGAATAAAGACCAATTGATTGAATGAGTGGATTCACAGAATTGCTGACTGAAACTGTCCCCCCTCCCCAACGTTATGTCTGTAGCTGCAATATATATTTTTTAAAAAATGTGCTACTCACTCCAAGGAAGCCATCTTTGCTCTTTGTCATGGTTTCCATCAACAGAGGCTGGAATTTTGCAAGGATCGAGAGAGTCTCTCCATTGGGATCCATCACTTCCTCCTCCTCAGTTCCAGACACAGGAATCATCCCTGAATGGAATGGTAGTAACCAAAAACTCATTTTAATAGGCAAAAATATGAAATTGAGACTACAAGAAAGCCTAGCGATCAGACGTTGGCATGAAAGGTGAAGCAGAGAGGAAAACATGTCTCTGTAGGAATGAAGATAATATTGATGTTATGTTTCACTATAAGATGGATTATATCCATTACAGACCCAGTGGTGTTTTCTGTAGTTTGATCTAAATCAGTGGTTCTCAACCTTTTTAATGCCGCGACCCCCAACCGGTTGTAAGTCGAGGACTAAACCGGTCGTAAGTCGAGGACTACCCAGCCGGTCGTAAGTTGAGGACTTTCCCTGCCCGGGAGTGCCGTGCATGCGTGGTTCCACCCCCTGCGCCGGCCGAGGCATAGCTGGCAAGCGGCAGAGACGGAGCAGGCCGACCACCAGCTGGCCCAGCCCAAGGGAGGTAAGGCACCCGCCGGAAAAGGGGAAAAAATGGCGGACAAAAAAAATGGCGGACAGCCTAGCTTGGCGACCCCCATGAAATGGTCAATCGACCCCAAATGGGGTCCCGACCCACAGGTTGAGAACCACTGATCTAAATGGTTAAGTAACATTTAGAAAAATAATTGTTTTTTTTAAGAATTGAATGCCACCAAACAAAACCGCATAGTAGTTTTAACATGTCTGAAATTTTGCCATCACGTCATTTAAGTTTTCAGCAATTCCATTCCTAAAATGTCATCCAAAACTACTGCAGTCCTAAAAGACTTGCGCCCTTATTCTCATTCCTCCTCTCCTATTGAGTTATTACTTTAGTGAAACAAATGTATCATGTACAATAGCTCACTGCTACACTACGGTGCAACTGTCACAGAGAATCAGTAATAGCAGTTATTGTCCAAATTAGAATGGGTGAAATTTATATAAAAATCAGATAGCATGGATTGCGTGCAAAGGATTATGTGATCATTGATTCAATTCCTCCTATCTGCTCTTTGTAGGCTTTACCAAGTAGCTAGTGTCAATGCTGGGAAACTTTGTTCCATGTTTTTTAAGTTGCCAAGCATTTAAAAATTGCACTAACTGTCCTCATGAACATACTGACTCATTTAACTTGTTCTACTTTTGTTGTTGTTAGTTGCGAAGTCGTGTCCAACCCATCGTGACCCCATGGACAACGTTCCTCCAGGCCTTCCTGTCCTCTACCATCTTCTGGAGTCCATTTAAGCTCACGCCTCCTGGTTCAGTGACTCCATCCAGCCACTCATTCTCTGTCGTCTCCTCCTTCTATTGCCCTCCATCTTTCCCAGCATCAGGCTCTTCTCCAGTCAGTCCTTCCTTCTCCTTAGGTGGCCAAAGTCCTTGAGTTTCAACTTCAGGATCTGGCCTTCTAAAGAGCAGTCACGGTTGATCTCCTTCAGGCCTTCCTGTCCTCTATCATCTTCTGGAGTCCATTTAAACTCACGCCTACTGCTTCAGTGACTCCATCCAGCCACCTCCTTCTCTGTCGTCCCCTTCTTCTCTTGCCCTCCATCTTTCCCAGCATCAGGCTCTTCTCCAGTGAGTCCTTCCTTCTCATTAGGTGGCCAAAGTACTTGAGTTTCAACTTCAGGATCTGGCCTTCTAAAGAGCAATCAGGGACTCAAGGACTGACCAGTCTGATCGCCTTGCAGTCCAGCACCATAGTTCAAAGGCCTCAATTCTTTTGCGCTCAGCCTTTCTTATGGTCCAACTTTCACAGCCATACATTGCAACTGGGAAAAACCATGGCCTTGACTGTATGCACTTTCGTTCTACTATTCACTATCAAAATTCCCATGACAGATTGCAATAAAAATATAAAGCTAAAATAAAAGCTACGGGTATTAACATCAACTATTGAAATAAAAACAGGGAAAATAAGCAGGTAAGCAGGTACTCAAAAAGCCCACAAAAATCTGAATCTCAATTTGGCAGGTGTGGATTGCAAAGAATGGAGACCGCCAGCAAAAAAAAGCTTGCTCCAAATTACTATGGCTGCTCTTTCTCAATTTGCAATCTAAATCAACTATATTTACCCTGCCATGACAGACCAACCAGAAGCAGACAGTGCAGCACATGTTGTCCACAGGGATTACAGTTGTGCAGGTGGGAAGCTGTGCACTTGACAACTACAACGAACCCTCGAATTGGGTACCAAAAGAGAGCCAGAGCTCAACAATTCTACCTCCGTGCACCAGGTGGCAGCAACAGACCATCAACAATTGACGCGGGGGCTTAAAAGGGCTTGCAAAATTATTATTATTGTTCCCACAAATAAGCTTATGCAAAAGGCCGGTGGATTTCCTCCTGACTCTTCTCCGATTCCTGCTAAAGTGAGCTCCTTCACCTTTATTACACATCAAGCTGGAAGATGGTAATTACTTTGGGATGAGAGAGGATAACAGCCTGCTGCCAAATACGGATTCAGAAACCGTAAGGTAACTTGTCTGGGTTACAGTTGTGGTGGAAGGAATCAGGTTTACCTGCAGGGTGGCACCAGCATATTTTTGGACAGAGACCTGTACCTGGTCCCTGAGTGGTTCACTGGAGACCCTTCTCCCCAAGGATGCAAAGAAGGCAATGCGGGCACAAAAATTAGCCCTCCAATTGAATTGGCTGAATGTAAAATTAAAATGAAATCAATAAATGAAGTGTCAGTAAATTAGCATTCTTAGGCAATCTCTATAGAGACTTCTGGTGGTCACACCCAAAGGTCTGGGAGAAGGAGAAGGTCTCGGGCAGGGCATTCCTAATGTATGGCTTACAGCAGGGGTGTCAAACTCAATTTCATTGAGGGCCGCATCAGCATTGCAGTTGCCCTCGGGGAGGGCAGGGGTGTGTGGCCAGGGTGTGTGTGGCCTACCGGGTGGGCATGGATGGAGTGGGTGTGGCCTACTGGGTGGGCGTGGCCAGTTCTACATCGTTTGCGTCAAGGGTGCCAATGGGGAGCTGGGCAGGAGTGGGACAGATCTGAGGGTCTCTGGCAGAAGGGGGTGGGACCGGGGCAAGTGCCAAGGCATGGTCCACTGGAGGAGCCTCACTCTTCCTCTCAGGCCATGCGGGGGGGGGGCTTATGGAGCTAAGGGCCAAGGCAGCGGGGGCCGTTCCCTCACTGTTTCCAGGATGGCTTCGCGGGCCACATGAAACCACTTCACGGGCCACATCTGGCCCCCGGGCCTTGTGTTTGACATGTCTGGCTTACAGCATATGTAAAACAAGCCACTGTAGTTTGATCAGCAAGCTATGATTAAAAACAAATCATCGCCGAGCATGGTGTCTGAATCCAGCTAAAATGAGAAGGAGGGTATTCAATGACCAGGAAGAACTGGAAAGGTTTTGACTGTGGTGACCACTATGCCCGGGCAGTCACCGAGGCTTTTACCCTTGGTGTGGTTCAACAGTACAAAGTTTCTAAGAAGAAAATAGCTGAAAAGTTAACAGAACTTTTTTAGCTTCCCAGTTAGCTTGCTCTCCTTACAGATACGCAAAGCATGGGCCAAATTAAGCCTTCCTTCCTGTACAGGTAGTCCTCGACTTACAACCATTCATTTAGCGACAGTTTGAAGTTGCAACTGCACGGGAAAAGCGACTTGCGACTGGTCCTCACGCTTACAACTGCCACAGCGTCCCCGTGGTCACGTGATCAAAATTTAGGCACTTGGCAAATGGCCACGTGATCATTTGTGATCTCCCGGGCTGGTTTCCCATAAGGAAAGGCAATGGATTTGCTTAACAACTATGTGATTCGCTTAACTTCACCAGCCAACAGGTGATAAAATTGGGTGTGACTCACTTAACAACTGCCTTGTTGAGCAACTGAAATTCTGCTCTCAATTGTGGCCGTAAGTTGAGGAATACCCGTAAAAGCACACAGATCCATTTTCCAGGTAAATATGTCGTCAAGACGATCCTAAGTAACCAGTAGATAGAAATGTATATACAGGTATTACAGAAGCACTGGCACGTATGCATGGTGGATTTACAAGAGGTGTCTTCCATCAAAGCCACCAAAAGGCAGATAATTCATATATCCAAAATTTAAGATGCTTTTTTTTTTAACAGTCCCAGGAAGAAAAAAATCATGAACTTTTTATGGGCCACCTTGCAGCTCCTGATATCTAATCCAACTGCACTGTTGTGGCAGTTGCAGAAGAAAAGAGAACTGTTACGGCATAGCTATTAAAGGAGGTTTCATGTAGCCATCAATCCCTTGCATTAGACTGCTAACACCACCTAAATACTTACAAACAGCATCCACACACCTGAGAACACTTCATTCCAAAGCTTGTAATCAAGGAAGAACAAAACAAAATCTTCCCATTTTGGTGTAGCTAATTGCTAAGAAGTGAAATGAAAAGAAAAAAGGTAGCAAAAGGCATCCTGGACTAATATGGATTTGGGGATTGTTATGGCAATTCCCTCATGGAGGCCATTTTGAGAAGGCACTCACTCCATGTTCCCCAAAATCTGAATTTTTAAGGGTAGGTTCTCCCCTTACCCGTGACAATAGCACCAGTGCTAAACAAACAAAATCTGTGGGAGAAATTCCATCCTGGAGTCACTCCTTGTGAATTAATGCAAGTACTGCACAGGAAATCAGGGACGTTATTATAAAACATAAGATCATTTCACAATGAAAAACAAGCCATTTCCACATATACACAAGCTGCTTAGCCACTACATAACCAAAGAAATACAAGACATAGATTTAAGCCATGAGGGAAAAATGGTAGAAATATTTTTGCACAGGAACAATATTTAGTAATTGCACAGCACCAATACTTAGTAATTTTTTTGTGCTCTCAAATTCTTCAAATACCTACCGGTCAGTTTCTCTGCAATGGGTTTGAATTCCTCAGGACTGATGTACAAATCATTGTTAGTATCCAGGGAAGAGAAGAGAAAAAGACCCTCATTTCCCAGAGATTTCAGGGCTGTTTCCTAAGTGGAAGGAAAGGGATTCTTTAAGACATACATTCACGAAATAAAGAAACTCAAATTAGCCATCTGTCTCATCACCCAAGCTAGTTACGTGATATGCACCTGGACAGATAAGAAGCTTAAAAAGCTCTTTTTTCAGACAAATGAAATGAGCAGAGAGATCATTTCATCAAAATAGATGTAATGCAGAAAAGCTGGAAACAGATTTTCCAATTTGGTATTGTAATGTTGAAGAAATTCCCAAAATCATCATAAATCATGGTCACATGATGGGACACAGTACTAGCAGCCCAGTTGTTGAGCACCAAAGTTCAGTCAGATTGTCTGTAAGTTGGGTGACTGTCAAACCTTCAGAACTGGGTCATAAATACTCAGGCAGGTCCATCAGAACTTCAAATGGTCATTAATGGACCAGTTGTAAATTGGGGACTACTGTATGCTTCTTCATATTGTAGTTGTAAGCTAGAACAGGGGTCCTCAACCTTGGCAACTTTAAGACTTGTGGACTTCAACTCCTTTGCTGGCTGAGGGATTCTGGGAGTTGAAGTCCACAAGTCTTAAAGTTGCCAAGGTTGAGGACCCCTGAGCTAGACTGAAAAAGATCTTTCAAACCACTTCTATAATACTGTCAAGAAAATTGCATTGATGCAACACAACTAAATTTGACATCTACTTAAATACCCTTATTTGTAAGCCAGCCTTCCTCTACAGTACCAAGAACCCTCCAGTTGTGTTAGACTTCATCTTTGAGTATTATGTGCGTTGGTCCGATACACCCAAGGAACACCAGTTTGAGGAAGGTATTAGCTATGCTTGTGAAAAATGCATGCATCATCTTCCTTTTATTTTTTATTTATCAAAATAGGGGACTGGAGGCTAAAACATGTAAGGAAAGGTTGCTGGAATTGGGTATGTCTAGTTTAATGAAGAGAAGGACGAGGGGGGACATGATAGCAATCTTCCAGTATCTCAGGGGCTGCCCCAAAGAAGAGGGAGTCAAGCTATTCTCCAAAGCGCCTGAAGGCAGGACAAGAAGCAACGGATGGAAACTAACCAAAGAGAGAAGCAACCTAGAACTAAGGAGAAACTTCCTGACAGTGAGAACAATTAACCAGTGGAACAACCTGCCTCCAGAAGCGGTGAATGCTCCAACACTGGAAGTTTTTAAGAAGAGACTGGACAGACATTTGTCCAAAATGGTATAGGGTTTCCTGCCTGACCAGGGGGTTGGACTTGATGACCTCCAAGGTCCCTTCCAACTTTATTATTATTATCAAATTTAGAATCCGCCCATCTCCCTTACAGAGGGATTCTTTTCCCTTCAGGCACAGAGAACAAAAATCTTCACCCAGCAAGACTAACATCACAGGATTGAATTATGTTAGGAAAAGGTGAAAAGAAGAAAGAACCAATTTCCTCTTTCATTTTCACTCTTCTAAGGCAAAGCCTTCTGATGCTAACTTTTCAGAACATATTCTCCAAAGTGGAGATTTGTGATTGCCTGGCACCTGTTTTAGTCTTGAGCAAAGGCAAGTTAGAAATAGGCTGATGTTTTATAGAAGGTAAGCCAACTTTACACGGTGGAATCAAAAGATAATTACCTCCCTGCTATTTGCTAGAAATGCAAGCATAAAAAGCTTAGGCTGTTATCAAATTTGCCTAGCAAATGCACTTCACTGAAGAGAACTTTGTGTCATAACTGCATTCAGAATTGAACTGAAAAGCGAACAAGGCACTAACTTCCCCAGCCGTTGTTTTGTCAAAAGGTTTGCTGTTCACAAGGAATTTGAGTTTTTTTAGGTAGCTCCAAATCCTGAGATTATGGTTAGTGAACCATGGATATTATTCATGCTCCGGTAGCATGGATTATGTAATCAACCAAGAACATGGTCAGAAAAATTATTATGAACAGGGTTCTAACATATGGCCAAAGATATTTCTAAATTAAAGCAATGCTCTTCCTGTAAGTGCCGAAGCAGCAGTGGCTCTGAGCTCTGAAATTGCCTAATTTTAACAACTCGGAAAGTGATTATCCCTGTCCAGCAATGGAATATAACTGCAGCCATGGATGTAAGAACGGAAGAGCAGTAAACATTTTAAAAAATGCACTGTAAAAAGAAACAAAACTCAGTGAACCCATCCCAATATTGCCCCTTCGATAAAGTTTTACTAGTAGACAACTTACAGTCCATGAGTCACAAAGATCCCCCCTCAACCATTTCTGCATCTCTGTGAACTATGCAAGATCATGCTGCCAAAATTCAGCAGTAAAACACTGATTTTTGGCAGCATCATTTTTGGCATGCACACACCCATTATATATATATATATATTATACTATATACATATTTTATAGATGCACAGATATATATTCAGAGAGAGAGAGAGAGAGAGAGAGAGATCCTATCATTTTCTTTCATAATCTGTTTTGAGAAGATTTTGTCTTAAAAATTATTTGTTTTACAAATAAATAAAAATAAGCAATTTGAATTTTTTAATCTCTGCAATTAACTGCAAATAAACTGCTGAATAATAATAATAATAATAATAATAATAATAATAATAATAATAATAATAATAATAATAATAATAATAATAATAGAATTGGAAGGGATCTTGGAGGTCTTCTAGTCCAACCCCCTGCTCAAGCAGGAAACCCTGACCTATACCATTTCAGATAAATGACTGTCCAGTCTCTTCTTAAAAACTTCCAGTGTTGGAGCATTCACCACTTCTGGAGGCAGTGGAACAATATAATTGTTCCACTGATTAATTGTTCTAGCTGTCAGGAAATTTCTCCTTAGTTCTAGGTTGCTTCTCTCCTTGCTTAGTTTCCATCCGTTGCTTCTTGTCCTGCCTTCAGGTGCTCTGGAGAATAGCTTGACTCCCTCTTCTTTGGGGCAGCCCCTGAGATACTGGAACACTGCTATCATGTCCCCCTTCGTCCTTCTCTTCGTTAAACTAGACATACCCAATTCCAGCAACCATTCTTTGTATGTTTTAGCCTCCAGTCCCCTAATCATCTTTGTTGCTCTTCTCTGTACTCTAATCTAGAGTCTCAGCATCTTTTTTACAGAGTTTTCACCATATTGTTTTGTGGTTTTGGATTTTAGGGCAATGTCTTTTTTTGTGGCCATTGACCATAAATATTCCATTTTGGGAGCCTAGGGGCTTGCCTCAGCCTGGGTCAGTTAGTTGGGCTTGGGTTGGCCAGTCTACACCATTGGCACCCTAAGTTACCTTGCTATCATGTCACACCTAGTTCTTCATTAATCTAGACATACCCAATTCCAGCAACCGTTATACAAGTTATACAAGCATCTATTATCATTCTGTGTGATATGATACCAGGCACTCTCCCTGTATTTATCCTACTGTCACTTTACTTCTGGTGAATGGTTTTGCCACAAAGTAAGAATAAACTGGTTACTACACAAGAGAGGAGGAATCTGTATTATAACAAGTGGCAATTCTTGGCTCCCGTTTTCTGCAGTATGGTGGCTTCAATATAATTTCATAAAGCCCTTGGCCTAACTTCACTACCCTTCAACCTACGATGAAATAGATCTGTGGGAAGTTGTTCTTTTCCTGCAGCTGCTGCTTAGAAAAAGAGATCACAGGAGAAAGGGAGGGAGGGAGAGAGAGAGAGATTGAGGGGATGCTGGGATGTTCAGTCATAAGGCACATTTTTTTCCAGTTCCCTTGTAACTTTGGATGGTCACTAAATGATTGTAAGGATTACCTATAAATATCTCCATACAATATCTTCCAATAGATTTCTTTTGAGGGACTGGAGACCTAGCATGAAAAAGATTATCTCCCTCTGGATTTTCCCAGCCTGTTTTTTAATAAGGCTGAAATCAAAGCTACAACTTATATGCAAACCTTGTACTCTAACCACTGACCCATAATTGGTCTCCCCAAATAATTTATTTATTTATTTATTTATTTATTATTTAAATTTATATACCGCCCTATCTCCCTTACGGGACTCAGGGCGGTGAACAGGCAATAATAAAAATCACAATAAATATTGAATAAAAAGCCTGCTCTAAAATACCCCATATAAAACCCCTAGCAAAACACAATCAAAACTACGCCAGGCCGGCTGCATGGAATAGATGGGTTTTCAAGGCTCGGCGGAAGAGGCGCAGGTCCGTAGTTGTACGTAGGTCGGGGGGGTAGGTCATTCCAGAGGGCAGGAGCTGCCACAGAGAAGGCTCTCCCCCTGGGGGTCGCCAGCCGGCATTGACTGGCCGACGGCACCCTAAGGAGGCCCTCTCTGTGGGATCGGACTAATAATTGCAAAACCTCTATATCACGCATTATCAAACTGCCGGCCCACGGGCTGGATGCATCATACTGAAACCGCACCCACGTGACGTCGTGAGTTTGACATGCCTACTCTATACAGGAAACTATATAGTATACAGCAAGATGTTTAGCCCCCAAACTTACTCTGGCTCATGGCTGAGATGTAGCAGCTGTTATATATATATAAAAAAACCAGCCATATTATCCCACTAGTTCCCATTTATTTCTGTGAGTCATTTAAGGCACATGTTCCCAATGGATTGAGTCCACAGTTCACATTCCTTCTAACTCAGCTCATTACTGCCAGGTTGGAAAAAAAACCTGCTTAATTCAGGCTGTGTTTTGGAGATATGAGAGAGTATGGGAAATATGAGTAAGTTGTTAGATTAGTAGTAAAAAAAACTCTACAGTTTTTTGGACTTTAGTGGAAGGTAATGGGTGTTGGAATCCATCCCTTTCAAACATATGGACTTCGATTCCCAGAATTCTCCTGGGGAAATCTGGAAGTTGAAGCCCATAAGGTTGAGAAACATTGGTCTAAGTCCGCTGCTGTTCACCCTGTTGACCCATGACTGTTGTGCCAGGTTTGCCACCAACCATATTGTGAAGTGTGCAGATGATACAACAGTAGTGGGCCTTATTCAGGATGACAAGGTGGAAGCTTACCGCAAGGAGGTTGAGGGGCTGGTGAATTGGTGCAAGGAAAACAGCCTAGTTTTTACCGGAAAAACCAAAGAGATCATTGTTGATTTCAGAAAAGGCAGGCACAGCCACACTTCTCTGTGCATTAATGATTCACCTGTGGAGATGGTTACCAGCGTCAAATTTCTGGGTGTGCAGCTAACAAATAGGCTGACTTGGTCACTCAACAGTGAGAAACTGGTGAAGCGGGCACAGCAGCGCCTGCATTTTCTGCGTCGCATGAGAAAAGCACATCTTCCTTCCCCTGTCCTGACCACTTTCTACAGGGGGACGATCGTGAGCATCCTGTCATACAGCATCACAGTCTGGTTTGGAAGCATCCCTGCTTCAGACAGGAAGGCGGTGCAGAGAGTGGTGAGGATGGCCGAAAAGATTATTGGCAGTTCCCTCCCTCGCATCCAGGACATAGCACAGAAGCGTTGCTTGAGCAGGATCCGTAAGATTATCTGGGACACTACACATCCTCTTCACGACCAGATTCAGGCATAGTTTCATTCCATACAGCATTAACCTTGTGAACTCTCAAGCTTCCTCCTTCCGTTATATATTCAAGATGGACAGTATTTAATATTTATTTGCTAGGTATATGCAGGGATGTGGGTCTATACATATGTTGTTCATAGTACGTTTAGGTGTGCGTCATGTATGTGTTTCACTTTGAGAGCGGGCAACTAAATTTCATTTTTGATGTGTGCCGTTGTCCCACAGTAAAAAAATGACAATAAAAATTATCTTATCTTATCTTATGAACGAGTGATCTCAAGTAAGATTGGAGGGGGCAAGTTTAAAATGTACTCCGTCATCTCTTATGGAGTGCAGGCAGATCACCCCCACCTCCCTAGAGCAATATGGTTTCTTTCCTCTGCGGGCTTCCATGCTGCTAGCCACCCCATTAAAGTTCCCACAGCCCTGAAGAGCATTTATTTTCCATCTGCTATCTGCCAGCCTAAAAGGATGCTAATGCTGCCTGAAAGCTGCTGTTGTTGTCAATTATGGTCAGGAAACCACTTAAGTGCCTTGCAGGGCTGATTCAAAAGTAAGAAATAGGTTGGGGATGGATCCCAAGCTAGGACTCAGAAGAGAGGAAATCTCAGGAGCTACAAAACTCTGACATCACTAAGCACTTAAGGCCAGGACATTATTTTAGTGGCACTAGCCCAAGGCTATTTGAAATGCAGTGAGGTACAGCCAGTTATCCGTTTGACTGAGCAATGCCATTAAAATGCCTACAAGTATAATAATGTTCTGCAAGTCGGGATGTTGATTTCCCAAATACGTTTCTTTCCCCCAGGGTTTTCTCGCTACCTGCAAACTGGCAAGCATCAAAACCTGGAATCTACAGGCATAATAAGCAGACTTGGTAAAGCCACACTTGGAATACTGCATCCAGTTTTGGTCACCAAAAGATGCTGAGACTCTAGAAAGAGTGCAGAGAAGAGCAACAAAGATGATCAGGGGACTGGAGGTTAAAACATATAAGGAACAGTGGCTGGAATTGGGTATGTCTAGTGACCTCCAAGGTCCCTTCCAACATTATTACTATTACTATTACTATTCTTCTTCTTCTTCTTCTTCTTCTTCTTCTTCTTCTTCTTCTTCTTCTTCTTCTTCTTCTTCTTCTTCTTCTTCTTCTTCTTCTTCTTCTTCTTCTTCTTCTTCTTATTATTATTATTATTATTATTATTATTATTATTATTATTATTATTATTATTATTATTATTATTATTATTATTATTATTAAGAAAAAAACAAAATAAAAAGATTTGTAACCAGTCCTAACAATCTGCATCCTTCTGCATCTAAAGGTAATCCTCGACTTACAACCATTTGTTTAGCGACCGTTCAAAATTAAAATGGCACTGAAAAAAAGTGACATGCAACTGGTCCTGGCACTTATGCAGCATCCTTGCAGTCACATGATCAAAATTCAGACACTTGACAACAACCTGCATGTATTTACGATGGTTGCAGCATCCTGGGGGGGTCACGTGTTTCCCATCTGTGACCTTCCCAGCTGGCTTTTGACAAGCAAGTCAATGTGGGAAGCTAGATTTGCTTAAAGATCACGTGATTCTCTTAACTCCATGGATTCTTTTAATGATGATGGCAAAAATGGTCATAAAATTGTTCATGACTCACTGAACAACTGCCTTGCTTAGCACTGGAAGTTCCAGTTCCAAAAGTGGTCGTAAATTGAGGAGTACCTGTATTTAAGAATTAGTGTAGTGGGAGTGCTGAAAAGTTATTTATCCTCTGCCCCTCTCTTCAAGGAACCTTCTTTAAAGTAATTGAGGGCTGCAAAGAATTTCATCAGTTTCATGCATGAAGAAGTGTGTTCTTTTGTCTGTCCTCAAATGCCCTCCCCTTTCAGTTTTATGGCACCAGGAACAGAGATACATAATGAAAAGAATTCTATTAATGCTGCTGAGCCTGCAATAAACATTTCTAAACAAAATGTATCACTTTATATGGCTAACTATCTTATGTACAGAACCCCGGGCAGCTCAGCTTTCATTACCCTAGTTAGTAATAAAAAACACGAAAGAGCCTTCAAAAACTTCCAACACCCCAAGAACAAACACTCTTCCAAACACCAACATTCACATCACATGACTATGAATAATTATTTCTACCCTAATAAAAACACTTCTGAATTTTATGGGGGGGCTTTACCCCAAATACTTTTCAAACTCCCCAGGAGATTGATTGATATATGCCATCAAGTGGGGTGTCCAGTCCAAACAACCACAGAGTTCTAGTCCCACTTTAGGTATGAAACCTGGGTGGATGACTTTGGGTCATTCTCTCTGGTTCAGCCCAACCCATCACACAGAGTTGTGCTTGTGGGGAAAACAGGAGGCAGAAATGAGGTATATTCACTGCCTTGTGTGTGTGTGTGTGTGTGAGTGAGAGAGAAAAAGAGAGAGAGAGAGAGAGAGAGAGAGAGAGAGAATGTGTGTGTATATATATATATACACACACACACTGCTCAAAAAAATAAAGGGAACATTTTACCATGGAACTGAAGGGGTTTGTGTTCCCTTTATTTTTGTGAGCAGTATATATTGTATGTATGTAAATACATAAATACAAAACAGATTTTCTCCAATGCAACAGGACACAGGTACACATAACCCTACCTAAGTGATGCATCCATACAAGATGCTCAACCATCAGGTAAACAACTAACAGATGCACTTTATATCTGACATTTTTTTAACCTTACAGAAGGTTGTGTGTGTGTGAGACTGAGGCCCCTTTGCCATTTCATGATGGCCCAGGATTGCCTTTTGCACACCCAAAATGTTGGTTACTCATTACTGAAGCCAGGTTAATGTCAGAATTACATACATACATATAATTATATTGAATATCATACTGTATTCAATATAATACAATATAATACAGTATGAAATGTAATATGAAATATAATACAGTATGAAATGTAATATGAAACATACCATATCATGGTACTAATCATGATGATGATGATGATGAAGATTACTATTATCAGTCTAAGTCCCCTTCAAAGTCCCGAGACCCCACAGCTGCCCCCCATCCCTTGCCCCCCCCCCACTCCTCCGCCCCGACCGCCCCCCCGCTCCCCATTACCTGCCGCCGGGCGGCCTCCGCGTCCCGGTAGTATTTGGCCGCCAGCAGCACCGCCAGGAAGGCCAGGGCCAGGCCCAGCCGCGGCACCCGAGCAGGAGGAGGCGGCGGTGGAGACGGGCGCCCAGAACCGCCGCCCTGGGAGGCCTCCGGAGGCGACGCGGCCTGTTCGGGCGGGCGGCCCTCCTCTTCGCCGCCGCGGGCCATGGCCGCCGCTGGCCGGGCCGGGGAGGCGCCGGCTCTCGGTCCCGCCTCGCTCAGGGTGCAGAGAGGAGGAGGAGGAGGCGGCCTCGCGCTTCTTTCGCGGACCTCTGAAGCGGCGGCGGCGGCGGCGTCTCGGGGCCCCCTCAGTCGACAGGCGGCTCCGCTTCGGCCTCGCAGACCCTCCGGCGGCGCGGCTTGGCGGCGGAGCCTCCAGCTGCCCTCTCCCGCCTCCCGCCTCCCGCCTCCCGCCTCTCCCGCGCTGGTCCAGGCGGCCTGCGTGGTCTTCCTCCCTCCTCCTCTCCCCATGTCCGCCCCTCGAAGCCCGCTAGGCCGGCTCGGAGTTGGCCAGGGACTCGCTGTCCCCTCCTCCTCCTCCTCCTCCTCGCTCCTTTTTCTTAGGCACAAACAATCCTCAACCACAACTGAGCCCCAAACTTTCTGTTGTGCGGTGAAACATTTGTTAAGCGAGCTTTGCCCCATTTTGCGACCTTTCTTGCCAGTCGTTCAGTGGATCGTTGTCATTGTTAGTTACGTGGTCGTTAAGTGAATCTGGCTTTCCCCATTGGCTTTGCTTGTCAGAAGGGGGCAAAAGATGATCACAGGACCCCAGGACACTGCAGCCGTCCTAAATAGGAATCGGTTGTCAAGCGTCTTGAATTTTGATCATGTCACCGTGGGGATGCTGCAATGGTTGTGTGAAAATGGTCACCTTTTTCAGTGCCTTTGTAAGTTCAAACTGTCACTAAACAAACTGTTGTAGGTTGAGGACTACCTGTAATTAATTAGCTCCAGATCTCCTTCCATAAATTTCCCAACAACCCTGTGGGGTAGGTTGGGTCGAAGTTGAGACCAGGCTAAAGTCATCTTGGACGCTTTGGTGGCTGAAGGGGACTGGGCAACTCTAGAGAAGAGAAATAGGCATGGAAAGGGCTGCCACAAAGAGTTGTCTTGTTCCTGTAACATTTTGCTTTATCTTTCCTTTTTATTTTTTTATGACTGGGCTTAAGAGGTCTATGAAAAAAGAAGATATACAATACAGTTTTGCAACAGTACAGTGTACCAAGCAATACGATGTATCAAGATCAAGTATCGATGGAGAAGCAATGTATAATTGTGTAATGATAACATTAAAAATAAATAAATGAAATGATATTCAGAAATAGGAAAACAAAATAACCAGAAACAAAATCTAAAGAACCAAATAGCAAAGAAAAAAATCTCAGAGGATCTCATTATTCTAACTCCCAGCTTAAAACATTTCAGTCCTTTATTTGTTACTCATTATCTAATTAACTGCAATAATTAGTTTTCTAACCGTCTATATCATCTATATCTATACAGTTATTTCTTACCTTATGCTCCATGCTCAATAACGCACAACCAGCAAAAAAGATGGTAAGAGATAGGTATGATCCCTATACTAAAGCTTTCAGGTACTCACTACTACAGTTAGTAATATTTATTATTATTTGCACCATTTGTATGGCTGCCCATCTTATTCAAGCAACCGGGTGTCTCACTGCAATTAAAAAACAAATTTAAAACAATATACAATATCCATGAACAATTTAAACCAAAAAATCATGATGAGCACCAGAATCTACCCATGCATTGGCTCAATACAGCCATTGTGCATTGTGCTCCTCACCCCCAGGCATGGCAGTATTGTATTTTGATGCCACCAGAACTCATCTCTGCACTAAGATGGTACCAATGTTTTTTTTAATTATTTTATTGAAGAAAAACTACAGGAACTTGCAGTTTCTCTGACAGTTTTATGTTCTAGTGCAGCTGCTGCGACTTTCTATTCTGAATGTTTTTATTATTTTTAAAATCTCCCAAACTACCTGGCACTTCCCAGTCTGTAACTTAAAAACAAAAGTCATGCAGTGTTTTTTGGAGATCTTTTCCTTTGGAATTTAATGGAAGTATGGTATGCCACAGAGCCTGCAAACTGCCAGAGAGATTATTGCATCATGAAAGACAAGACATTTATTAAAATATAGCTGCCTCATGGCTAAATAAAGAGATATACGTGCATTCCCCCATCTAGGACAATTTCACAGAAATTAATTTCTCCTTTGAAATACATTTCAGAAACAAATTCTATTTTGTGCAACTGAGCTAAAATGGCTGGAGAAAAGAATGCAAATATTTCTGCACAGCATCCAACAAAAAGGGTGTATCCTAAAAAGTGTGACACTTTTTGCTGTGTTCCTGGTGGCACATCAAACTGTCTACTAAAATCCATGGAAGTCAGCCAGTGGCAGAAACTACTTTTGATTTGTAAGCATTTCTGGGGATGCGTCTGAGCTTTTAAGTTCTATAAGAAGAAAGAGCCAAGACAGAACAGATTTTTGTAGCATGAGTGTGCTGTGGTTGATGTAAAGTTAATGCTGGCTTTGTGACCATTGTTATTTTTGAATTCATATTCTTTTGTTCGGTATTTCTAATGATGTGCATAGATCTTCAAAAGACTTGAGTGAGGCTCCCAGAAATCATAAAGTATCATAAGAGAAATTCTAAAAGACATTTCTGAAATGGAATTATGTTAACTGTATTTGATTTTATTTAATGAAACTTAGCTTTAGTTGCAGTCTCTAGTGCTAGCCCATAGCATGAGGCTCAAAGCTCTTCTCTGTCTGGAAAAGATTGGGCAGCCCTAATCAAGAAAAACCTTTTAAGCTACCTTGCCTCCTTCTGGTCAGAGTAAAACACAACAGGTGGAACTTCTGGGGAAAAAGAGAATATGTTTCATCTCCTAAAGCTCTGCATGTTAGTCAGTCCCAGGGAAAAAGCTGAAGTGTTGCCCACTGTTTATTTAAGAGGCCAATTCAGGCCTCAGAATGAGGAAACCATTAACAAGTACTTCAGGGTACGTCTGCAGGGATGCGTTATACGTTCTATATAAATCTATTTTGGCTGGAATCCTCTGTATAAACTATTTGGATCGTGAACCTGTAACATTTCTGGGGCTGAGATTAAAGTCCTAAAATGGTCACAGCAGTATCAGGGCCTCACAGCACAATCCATATCTGTGGCTTTTTTGGTTTCATCCCTACAAGATAATAATAATAATAATAATAATAATAATAATAATAATAATAATAATAATAATAATAATAATAATAATAATAATAGTAGTAGTAGTAGTAGTAGTAGTAGTAGTAGTAGTAGTAGTAGTAGTAATAGTAATAATAGTAATAATAATAAAGTTGGAAGGGACCTTGGAGGTCATCGAGTCCAACCCCCTGCTCAGGCACAAAACCCTACACCACTTCGGACAAATGGCTGTCCAGTCTCTTCTTAAAAACTTCCAGTGTTGGAGCATTCACCGCTTCTGGAGGCAGGTTGTTCCACTGGTTAATTGTTCTAACTGTCAGGAAGTTTCTCCTTAGTTCTAGGTTGCTTCTCTCTTTGATCAGTTTCCATCCATTGCTTCTTGTCCTGCCCTCAGGCGCTTTGGAGAATAGCTTGACTCCCTCTTCTTTGGGGCAGCCCCTGAGATATTGGAACACTGCTATCATATCCCCCTTCTCTTCATTAAACTAGACATCCCCAATTCCAGCAGCCTTTCCTTATATGCTTTAGCCTCCAGTCCCCTAATCATCTTTGTTGCTCTTCTCTGTACTCTTTCTAGAGTCTCAGCATCTTTTTTACATCGTGGTGACCAAAACTGGATGCAGTATTCCAAGTGTGGCCTTACCAAGGCATTGTAAAGTAGTATTAATACTTCACGTGATCTTGCTTCTATTCCTCTGTTAATGCAGCCTAGCACTGAGTTGGCTTTTTTGGCAGCTGCAGCACACGGCTGGCTCATATTTAAGTGATTGTCCACTAGGACTCCGAGGTCCCTCTCACAGTTACTACTATTGAGCAAGGTACCCCCTATACTATACCTGTACATTTGGTTTTTCTTGCCTAAATGTAGAACCTTACTTTTTTCACCATTGAATTTCATTTGTGAAAAAAGTAAGGTCCTACATGGGGTGGAGGTAAAAGAAAGCAAGTTCTGTCGTGCCATAATATATTTGTTTCCTTCTTCATTCTAGGAAGAATGAAGCATCCATTGCAACAGCTGGAACAGCTGGAACAATGGCTTTTGCAAGACAGCTAGCTCTGTTGGTGCACAGGGATGAGACTACCAAGCAGAAAGATTTACGTGTCTGGGAACAGAGGCACTGCTGGCATGTTGTATCTCACCAGGTGCTTAATAAATCCAACCAAGTGAATCAATTAAAACAAATTGTAACTTCATATGACATTAAACCCAGATCATCATCTTTCCCTGTCTTCTTCAAAGTAATTGCAAGAATAAAAATTAGAATATTATTTCTCTCTGAAAAGATGGGATAGAAATACAACAAGTCCATATAGCATAATACAGATAGTACTCATTTAGCAACCACAATTTGGACCAGCAACTCAGTCATAAAGCAAAGTGGTCACTAAGTGAAACCGAGATTATGATCTCATTTCACCTTTGCTTTGCAGATCTGTGAAGGTCATAAGTCTGAGGACTGGTCGCAAAGTTCCTTTTTCATCATTGTTGCTAAACGAAGCAGTCATCAAACGAGGACTATCTGTATGTGATTACTTTCTTGTTTACCTCCACTGTTTCCGCCAGTAATACGTTTTCTGCTCTGTATTTCCCTGTTATTAGACAGCCTGATCTAATTTTATGCACAAAATAAGCTCTAAAACGTTTCCTATTTTGCTTATAGTTCGTTGGATATTGGCCGTTCTACTCTATGACCTACTTTCAGCAGCCACGTGGGAGGCACAATGAATACAGGTCTCTCTAAGCTGAATGTGCTACATGCAACCATATGTCAAAATTCTGCAAGGCTCCGTTTGATTTATGGGGCTGGTTTGAACAAAGCATTAAACAATCCTTTGTTTATGCCATTTGTCAAAGAAGTCCCCCAACACAACCAACATGCTAAACCATCACCATAGTTTAATAATCACAAGGATGCTTCCTACACAAAGACAGCATAGTG